CGCTAGTATGAGGCATTTTGGAGGAAGTCTAAAAAAAATCCGTGCGGGATAAGCCCAAAGCTGACATGCCTCATAGTAGAGTCGGCCCAGTCCCAACAGCGGTATAAGAGCCTGATTTGTTGGTTAAGTGGATTGGATGGTATTGGACATTGGTTATGGTGGTGGACTCGCCCTCGTGACCTGCGGATGTGTTGTTGGTTATGTTGGTCTTTGGTTTTAGGGAAGATTGTTGGAGTGCAAACACAAGTGAACTCCACTAGTATGAGGTCTTTTGGATGAAATAAAAAACAAATATGTGCGGGCTTAGCAAAAAACGGACAATATCATACTAAGTATTGAATTGACCAAGTTCCAACAACAACTTTCTATGACCCCATTTACCAATGGTCAAATAAATAATTATATATTACTTAATTTCTTTGCTATAAATCTATCACAAACCTTTAACACAAAATTATAAACCTTAGCCCAAATCCTGAATTTGTGATACATATAAAATATATTTCATCTGTCCCATAATGCAAAATTATAAACCTTAGCCCAAATCTTGAATTTGTGATACATATAAAAATATATTTCATCGGTCCAACTAGAAGTATTTCTTTTTATCATTTTCGTATATTCTATTTAAAGGTATTTAGTTTATATTATAGTAAAAATGATTACACACTAATACTAAAATACTCTTAATTTTTTCATAAATGAAAAAAAAATCAAAGAATTATTATGCAAATAATTAATTTATACATAAAATACAAAGAAAAAATATGAAAACAATCTTATAACCAATAAAACATTATTATTTTTAATCCACTATAAAAACTCAAACGAATAGATTAGAGTGAGATTGATGGAGCATTATTTACAAAAATATCACTAAAAACTGTAAACTTTAAATCCTAGATCAAAATCAAAGAAAAAATGTGTGACATATTTAAATATATATTTATTGCATAAAAGGATCGTGTCATTTATATTAAATTTAATCCCATAAAATGTTATTAGCATGATCAATGGTGCTAATATTCACTATTGCAATAATAATAATAATAATAATAATAAGATTTTTGTAGAAAACTATTGGAAATTACAACATATTATTTTGTTTATGTTATAAAATAGTATTGATCAATATGTCAATTTAGTTCTTATAGCGGTCTTTTGTTTTTTATATGACGTGGGAACCTGCATGCGCTCTTATAGTGCTCTTTCTTTATATGTGCCCTAGTTATACCTTGATTTTCCACAAGCTTATATTTTTTTAAATATTTAATTTTCTTGCAATAGGAACATTTTGTTAATGGAATTGGGTTGATATGTTATTATTATTCTTTTAGTAACATTGGAACCAATACTTACTACTTTTCGAGTACGCATTGGTAAATTTTTGACTGATATAGTTGCCCACAAATTATTATAGGTCTTCTTATATATGTCCATCCATTATCCATTCCAAATAAATTAATCGATCATCAAAGTAAAAAACTGACTTAAATTTCGGAAAAGCTAATCCCAATTGTAATCGTTTTCAACATTCATCGCTACAATGCAACCAAATATAAAAACATCAATAACATAAGTAAATGAAAATACAACAAGGATTCCACTGTTTTTACTATTGGTTTTGATACAAAATAAAAATTTAAAATAAATATACTTTTAAAATTGGGTTTTGTTAACATTTGGGCCAAATTGGATTGTTCGGTTATTGAGCTTAACCTAAGTTTCTTTACTTGTGGACCTAGTCCACACAGAATATATATATACTTAGCTTGGTTCATCCATCATTTTTTTCACCTTAAGCTTCTCTGCCATTGTAGTTCACTTGTCTCACATACATTGCTTTCACTATGCACGCCATCACCATCTTCACCATTCTTTATATACTTCCATTCACACGCAAATCACCTCACCTCACAACGCCATCGTTGTTTGGGTCGTTGATATTATATTTTAGCTTTAGCATAAGGACGCGTCATGTTTTTTGTGGCGTTGTTCTGATGTTGGCATGTAACATTTCAAGATTTTTATTTGAGGTGTTACATATATTGGTATTAGAGCCGACCTACGACAGCTCGTAGTCGTTGACTAGACTGTTGACGGGCCTAGCAGTTGATAATTCTTGGGGTGCAATGTGGACCTTGCATTCTTAAGTGGGGGAGGATGTGATACCCCTAGAGTTGGGTCGTGCTTGGCCAACTGACATGGATACGAAAAGATCGGGACTTGCAATTCCACATATTCCAATCGGACAAGTCTCGAGAGCTCGAGCGAAAGCGTGCATTGAAAAATTGCAAGGCCTAATAAAGAAATTAGAGAATTGGAGCCCAACCAACGGACTATGTTACAACATGCGAGGACTTGATGGAAAGCCTAGGGCGAGTGCTGTGGTTGTAAAGGTTACATGGGAGCTTACAGCGCCTCAACCGGAAAACTAACGGAAAAGTTGTGCAAACCTAGGAGTTTGCTAAAATAGAGGGTTTAATAGGTAATTATATAAACCTAGGTTGCACATGCTTAAGTGGGGGGGGACCATCTATTGGGACCACTTATACATATACATATATAATAAGCTCTCTCACATGCCTCTCACATGTAAGAGGGGACCATTAACTAGGTGTCAATCAACGAGAGGTTACTTAGTTATACTAAACATATCCCACATTGGAAAAACACTCCACTTGCCCCTTCCCCCACTCCTATAAATAGGACTCTTAAGGTGCTTTGTAAAACACACCAAGCAAGAATATTTGTTTATGAATATTTGATCATTATTGATCATTTCATTTTTATGGAAAATTATGCTTGATAGCAATACTTTCTCTTTTAGTCTAATATTTCATGGAATGCAATTCCATTGCATGCTCCATGAGGTTTAGTTTCAAAATTCGGGTTTGAGTATAAAGCCTCAAGTTCGTGGCATTTGGGGAAGATGGAAGAGCTCTCCAAAGTGTCGACCGAGGTGGTGCCTTCGTGGAGGATGGTTCGATGCTAGAAGGGTATCGGGTCGTTCTTACGTTAGTACTTACTTAGGTTTGCTTCTCTTTCGATTATCCTTTCTTTCTCGCTTTATTCGTTTCCGCTTAGTTAATTTGTTCTTTCTTGCTTAGTTAGTTATGTTTAGTTGTTCGTTCTTTGTCGTTGTTTATTAGTTAGTTCCGTTTTAGTTAGTTTATTTTGTGTCTTGTGTAGTTGATCAATTTCGGTCCATGACATATATTTAATTTTGGTATCAGAGCAGTTTGATCAATTTACACTATCTTTATTCCGAAAATTCCGAAAAAAAAAAAAAATTCCTTTGTTATCTTTTCTTTTTTATTCATTCCTCTAGTTGCGTAGTCGAGCTTTTTATTGCATATTCTTGACGTAGATTTGATCTCGAGTTTTGTCATTGCTTGGCCTTCTAGTGTAGACGATTTGATCCTCTATGCTTCCTAGTGTACAACATGCACCTTACATCCATATGCATTATATGAACTCAAGCTTGTGACTTTGTTGACGAGTGATTTTAATTGTACACTTCATGCTCTTGTTTGAGTTTTACGAGTTTGTTCTTGTTTGAGTGTTGCAAATTTGTTCTTGTTTGAGTTTTGCGATTTTGCTCTTGTTTGAGATTTTCAAGTTTGCGGGTTGTTGAGTTTGTTGTTGTTTGAAGTGAGGTTGAATTAATTTTGAGTTGGATGTTGTTGGGGAAGTGTAAGGAGTTATTGTTGATGTATTGTTTTGCCTAGGCCTCGTAATATTGCCGTGAAAAAGTAAAAAAAAAAAAAGAGTTGCGAAAAAAAAATATTGAAAAGAAAAGAAAAAGAAAACCAAAATATTTGAAAAAAAAAAGAAATACAAAAACAAAATCGAGCGGGAGGACTAGAGCAATTTTTTTTGTCGATAATCTTGTTTGAGTTGTAGTTTTCTCATACGAGCTCCATTTTTCGCGTATGATATGTCATTGGAAAGCTTGTGAAGTGGTGAGAAAGTTATATTAATCAGTTTTTGTGAATTTGTAATTAAAGTTGATTATTCAGTTTTGAGTTTTTGAGATTGGATCGATTTTGTACTTGTCATATTCGTTTGACACGTTTTAAAGGGAGTTGAGTATTGTGGTGATTTGGTGGCTGTTGAGATCATTCAGCTTGTGTTTGTTGTCGACTTGCTTAGTTCCGGCATTTGTGTGTTGTGTATGTTTGGTCATTTGTCCGTGAATGAATGAGCTTGGTTCTTTGCATTGCATGATTGACACTATCTTGAGCTTTCTTTGATTGAGTCGTGTTTAAAGTTTCTTGTCCACTTTAAACGCGTACGTCACTCAGGTTCCACCTTTACGACTCCATCAAGGCACACTTTAAGAGCTTAGAAACTCTATCCATTTGTCGAGAGGTATACACGAGTGTACGAGAGGGGGGGAATTGTGAGAACTAACTTTCAATATACATATATTAGTTTGTTTTGGTGCAGGTATGGCTTCGTTGGATGATATCTTGGCTGCGATAAATAAACAAAGCAAAGATATGCGAGATATTAAAGACGAGTTAGGTGGAAAGATGGATAGCATGACATCTCGTGTGGATCAGCAAGGTCGAGAGATACATGACCTACGGAGTCAAGTTGATCATGTTCGAGATGACATAGATGATGTTGTGGATGCTCGGATGAAGGCTTATGCGGAGGCCTTGTTAAGGAAGGTTGATCAAAACATGGAAAAGAAACTCGATGAGGTTTTCGATAAGGTTGCTACTCTTGAAGAAAGGGGAAGTCATAGTGATGCTAGACGTGAAGAAATCCACCTTGGCAAGCAACCTATGGGCTCAACAAGTGTTTTCCCAAATCGATCCATCCAAGTTGATGATTTTGGCGAAAGGCGTCATACTAGTCCAAGGCCTACATCTATCCAAGGCCGACGAGGAAGACGGGATGCTACCAAAGAGTTACTTGATGAATTTGACTTGGAAGAAGATATCCATATCCGAAGGAGCTGAGTTCGAGTTAATGAGGTTGATGATAACATGCAGTCCATCAAGTTCTCCATACCACCTTTTGTAGGATCGGCTGAACCTAATGAGTTTCTTGAGTGGAAACGCAAAGTGGAGATGATGTTTGCATGTCATAATTACTCGGAGCGCAAGAAAATTCAGCTTGCTGTTGTGGAGTTTAAGGAGTATGCTCTTGTTTGGTGGGAGAAGATACAAGCTGATATTGCAAGGTCCGGAATGCCTCCGATTGAGACATGGGCAGCCCTTACTCGAGCTATGCATGCACGTTTTGTGCCCCTGCATTATCGGATGGATCTTCTTCAAAAAATTCAATTTTTAGTCCAAGGTAGCAAGACGGTTGAGCAGTACTACAAGGAAATGGAGATGCTTATGATGCGGGCTCAGCTTGTGGAAGATGATGGAGTCACCATGTATCGGTTTCTCAAAGGGCTGAGGCGTGAAATTATGATTCAAGTGGACATGTATCCTTACAATTCTACTTTGGAACTTGTCCAACTTGCTACCAAGATTGAATCGCATGGAAAGGTAAGAGTAAGTGTGAGCTTTGGAAAGATGTCACCAAATTTCAACAAGTTTGGGGGTAATACGAGACCAACAAAATCTTGGCCCAAAGGAGATGATAAACACACGACCAAGAATGAGCCGGTTAAGGTGGTTAAGCGTGATGAACCAAGGAAAGTCAGCAAGGATGGTTCACCAAACAAAGCAAAGGATGTCACATGCTTTAAGTGTCAAAGGAAAGGTCATTATGCCAATACATGGCCTAATGTGCGAACTGTTGTGCTTTGTGACAATGGGGACTATGTACTTTTTTCGGATGATGAGGGTGAAGATTGGGAACATGAGGTTGAGGCGAGTGAGGATGAAGCAATCCAAGAGACGGAAGAGCACGTTGAAGAGGATTCATCCGGGGAGTCTCTAGTGGTTTTGCGAATGCTTGGAGCAGTTCCCAAGGAGTCGGAAAAATTTGTTGATCGGGTTAAGGAGCAACGGGAGAATTTGTTCCATTGTCGGTGCAAGATTGGTGGGAAGCGAGCGTCGATAATCATTGATAATGGAAGTTGCACCAATGTCGTAAGTTGGTATGTGGTAGACAAGCTTGGACTCCAAACTATCAAGCATCCAACTCCATACCATCTTAAATGGATGAACTCTAGTGGAGATATGAAGATCACTAGGCAAGCCAAAGTTCCTATTTCAATCGGCCCCTACAAAGAGGATGTCCTTTGTGATGTTACTCCGATGACCGCATGCCATGTGCTTCTTGGCCGACCATGGCAATCCGATAAAAGAATTATCTATGATGGCAAGACTAACAAAGTTAGATTTTATGACAAGGGCTACAAGGTAATGATTCCTTCTTTGCCATTGAAGGAGGTTCGAAAAGATCAAGTAAGCTTGCGAAAGAAGATGCAAGAGGCTGAAAGTCTTAAAAGAGCTAAAGGAAAAGAAGTATCCATAGAGGAAAAGAGAGAGTCTACTGCTAAGGGTTCCAACATCCTTCTTTCACTTACCGATTTTCAGAGAGAAGTTGGTGACCTAGATCATCAAAAGGGGGGTTGTTTTATGTTGTTATGCAAAGATTTATTTCATTTTGATAAAGATAATCTACTCACTAATTTTCCCATTCCCTTTGCTAGGATGCTTGAAGAGATGAAGGATGCATACCCGGAGGAACTACCACAAGGACTACCGCCCATTCGCGGGATAGAGCATCAAATTGACTTCATACCTGGTGCTTCGATCCCAAATCGTCCTGCATATCGGTGCAACCCAGATGAGAATAAGGAGATTCAAAAACAAGTCCAAGAACTTCTTGAGAAGGGATGGGTTCGGGAGAGCTTATCACCATGTGTTGTCATTGTCCCCAAGAAGGATGGAACTTGGAGGATGTGTGTGGATTGTAGAGCGGTGAATGCGATTACAATTAAGTATCGACACCCAATCCCGCGCCTTGATGACTTGCTTGATGAGATCAATGGAGCGAGAATCTTCTCCAAGATTGACCTTCGGAGTGGATACCACCAGATTCGTATGCAACCCAGCAATGAGTGGAAGACGGCATTTAAAACAAAGCTAGGTTTGTACGAATGGTTGGTAATGCCATTCGGTCTAACTAATGCTCCTAGTACCTTCATGCGTTTAATGAATCATGTTCTACGTGCTTTCATTGGTAAATTTGTTGTAGTATACTTTGATGATATTCTTGTCTACAATAAAAGTGAAAAGGAACATGTGGAGCATGTGCGACTCGTCTTTCAACGGTTAAGGGAAGAACAACTCTACGCTAATTTTAAAAAGTGCATATTCCACACTAATGAAGTTGTTTTCCTTGGGTTTGTAGTTAGCGAGGATGGCTTGAAGGTTGATGAAACAAAAGTAAAGGCAATTAAAGTATGGACACCTCCAATGAATGTGGGAGAAATTAGGAGGTTTTTGGGAATGTGTGGATTTTTTCGGAGGTTCGTGCCTGGTTTTAGCTTGATCGCTGCTCCTCTCACGTCCTTGCTCAAGAAGGGAGTCCCATTTAAATGGGAGCAAGCACACCAAGAAGCGTTTGAGACATTGAAGGCAAAGCTTACTCAAGCACCTGTACTTGCGCTACCAAATTTTGAGAAGACCTTTGAGCTTGAGTGTGACGCTTCGGGCAAAGGCATGGGTGCAGTTTTGCTTCAAGAAGGTCGACCCATAGCCTATCATAGTGAGAAATTTGGAGGGGCTGCCTTGAATTACTCTACATATGACAAGGAGTTGTATGCGGTGGTACGGGCTTTAAAGACATGGCAACATTATTTAATGCCATGAGAGTTTGTGATACACACCGATCATGAGACCTTGAAGCACGTGAGGAGGCAACAACAGCTGAATCGAAGGCACGCACGATGGGTATCTTTTATTGAGTCATTTCCATACACCATCAAGTACAAAAAGGGTAAGGATAATATTGTCGCGGATGCACTCTCACGCAGGTATGCTTTAATTTCATACGCGTCCACGCATTTATTAGGATTTGAGCATGTTAAGGAATTATACCACACTGATGAGGATTTCAAAGATGTGTATGTTTTGTGTGAGTTTCATGGGCATGATAAGTATTGCAGACGAGGGATTTTTGTATTATGATAATCGACTTTGTATCCCAAAATGCTCCATTCGGGAGTTACTAATACAAGAAGTTCACGGTGGTGACATGATGGGGCCACTTTGGGAAGAATGCTACAATGGAAGCTCTTGGAGAGAAAATTTATTGGCCTGGAATGCGCAAGCAAGTTGCAGATTATATTTCGCGATGCGTGACATGCCTTAAGGCCAAGTCAACACTTAAGCCACATGGACTCTACATGCCTCTTCCACCCCCTGAGGGACCTTGGATTGATATTAGTATGGATTTTTTGTTGGGTTTACCTAGAACTACACGTGCTAAAGATTCTATTTTTGTTGTGGTTGACAGGTTTTCCAAGATGGCGCATTTCATTCCTTGTGCAAAGACAAATGATGCCCATCACATCGCCAAACTATTTTTCAAGGAGATAGTACGCCTTCATGGAGTGCCAAGGTCTATTGTCTCAGATCGTGATGCAAAGTTCGTGAGTTACTTTTGGAAATCGTTGTGGCACGAAATTGGTACTAAGCTTCTTTTCTCCATATCCTATCACCCCCAAACTGACGGACAAACGGAGGCGGTAAACCGGGTGTTGGGTAATCTCCTTAGAGTTATTGTGAATTCACATAGTAAAAGTTGGGATGAATGTCTTCCTTACATTGAATTTGCATACAATAGACATATCCACACAGCCACACACATGTCACCATTTGAAGTAGTTTATGGAATGAACCCACTAACGCCTACTGATCTTTTACCATTGCCTAGCAATGAGTTCTTAAATGTTAATGGTAGGGAACGAGCAAGACGCATAAAGGAACTTCATAAGGATGTCAAAGCAAGTCTAGAAAAATCTGCGGAGGTATATGCTAAGTATGCTAACCGCGGACGTAAAACTGTAATATTGCATCCCGGCGATTGGGTTTGGGTTCACATGAGGAAGGAAAGGTTTCCGGCAAGGCGACGTACAAAGCTATCACCCCGAGGAGATGGGCCATTTCGAGTGCTTGAAAGGATTAATGATAATGCATACCGTTTGGAACTTCCGGATGAATATGGTATTAATCCTACTTTTAAAATTGCAGATTTATCACTCTATGATCGAGCCGATGAGGAAGCACAACGGTTGATGGCTCAACCTTCTGAAGGGGGAGAGGATGACATGGATACGAAAAGATCGGGACTTGCAATTCCACATATTCCAATCGGACCAGTCTCGAAAGCTCGAGCGAAAGCGTGCATTGAAAAATTGCAAGGCCTAATAAAGAAATTAGAGAATTGGAGCCCAACCAACGGACTATGTTACAACATGCGAGGACTTGATGGAAAGCCTAGGGCGAGTGCTGTGGTTGTAAAGGTTACATGAGAGCTTGCAGCGCCTCAACCGGAAAACTAACAGAGAAGTTGTGCAAACCTAGGAGTTTGCTAAAATAGAGGGTTTAATAGGTAATTATATAAACTTAAGTTGCACATGCTTAAGTGGGGGGGGACCATCTATTGGGACCACTTATACATATACATATATAATAAGCTCTCTCACATGCCTCTCACATGTAAGAGGGGACCATTAGCTAGGTGTCAATCAATGAGAGGTTACTTAGTTATACTAAACATATCCCACATTGGAAAATCACTCCACTTGCCCCTTCCCCCACTCCTATAAATAGGACTCTTAAGGTGCTTTGTAAAACACACCAAGCAAGAATATTTGTTTATGAATATTTGATCATTATTGCTCATTTCATTTTTATGGAAAGTTATGCTTGATAGCAATACTTTCTCTTTTAGTCTAATATTTCATGGAATGCAATTCCATTGCATGCTCCATGGGGTTTAGTTTCAAAATTCGGGTTTGAGTATAAAGCCTCAAGTTCGTGGCATTTGGGGAAGATGGAAGAGCTCTCCAAAGTGTCGACCGAGGTGGTGCCTTCGTGGAGGATGGTTCGATGCTAGAAGGGTATCGGGTCGTTCTTACGTTAGTACTTACTTAGGTTTGCTTCTCTTTCGATTATCCTTTTTTTCTCGCTTTATTCGTTTCCGCTTAGTTAATTTATTCTTTCTTGCTTAGTTAGTTATGTTTAGTTGTTCGTTCTTTGTCGTTGTTTATTAGTTAGTTCCGTTTTAGTTAGTTTATTTTGTGTCTTGTGTAGTTGATCAATTTCGGTCCATGACACCAACTCCCGTGTGTGGACGGTATTAGGCCATCCAAAGTTGATTAGAGGTTAAATTGATTGAATAGACAACTCATGTCAACAATGTGCACATTCTTTTTTGGAAGACTCACTGAAAGAACTCTAGAGTTAAGCGTGCTTGCTCTAGAGCAATTTGAGGATAGGTGACCCCTGAGAAGTCTCTCAGGGTGTGCATGAGTGAGGACAGAAGCGCGCTAAAAGGACTCATGTTGACCTGTGAGGCCAGTCTACGATCCTGACATGCTCAGCTTTGCGTGGCTTGCGGACCGGGGTGTCACAAATAATATCGCTCCTGCTCCATACACTCTTCACACACTTGTGCATTACTCTTTTGTGGTTATTCAAACCATTTCACTTCGCCTACGCTTCGTTCGTGTTCTAATGGACCTCCGTATTGATTGTTCATTCACTCAACTTCATAGTTTTCATCACTTAAATTGTTATTGCTAGCTCTTCTATCATTCTAGTTCCTTACACTAGTATTTGGTTCGATTTGATATGTTGAGGTATTTCTACTTTGGATTGTTGATGTGCGAGGTATTTGAAAAACGGCTCTTGTGACCTACAACCTTGGCTCATCTCTGGTTTGGTTGTATTTTTCATATTTTTTTATTATAAGTTGATTCAATTCGATTGAGATGTTATGTGAGTATTCTTGTGAGAACGTTGTGACTTTTCTCTAGTTGATTCATATGTTGCTTAATATGTTTTGGATCCTTTGTGATCATGGCATGTTTATATATAAAACTCCTATCCTCTATACACCATATTGTTTGACAATAAATGTGACTTAGAGTGTAGATGTTCCCCACTCTCCGTGATAAAATTGTGCGTTAAGTTTCCATTAATATTTTTAGCATATACATTCATAATAGAATAAATTATTTGTAACGTAAGTTGCTAGTTAGTTATAAACATATCGAAGTGATTTAGCTGGCTAAAAAGCTAGACAATTTCGGAACTTCTACCAGATCGTTGGATAGAGAAATACAATAATCAAAACAATAATTCCCACATAATGAACAATATATAAAAACGACCAAAGTCCCACAGTTTATTGATAATTAGAACATAACTATACAATAAGAAATACATTAATATTTAATCATACAACTCTCGAGGAACTTTATGATAAAAAAGACTTTTTTGTTTCTCCGATTGGCATTTATTTCTTTATATTTTGTATTTTTTTCAATGATGTAAAACTTTGCAACCGCCACAATTCGAGTGCGCGTTAGATAAATCTTAGGTCGCACCTCATGAATCCATCCTCAAACCACCAAGTTATATCTTACAAGATATTTTTTGTATTATTTTGTTCATACGGACATATAATTTATTTATATGATCAATTTTTTAATTAAGTTTTTTCTATGATATAAATTATTCTTTTTATTCAAGATTTGTTAACCCATTATTAATTTTATGGTGGTTGTTAGCATACAATACATTATTAATATTAATATAATAAAAATAACCAAATGAACTAATAGCAAATAACATAATATGTATAACACAAGTATAAACAAAAAAAACACATAATTTTATTTTACAGTAATTTTATATTTGTTACTATTTTATATATGCTGAATAGAGAAATCAATAGTAAAACCATTCTCTAATTCTATATGTAAATATATTTATATATATATGAAAGAGAAATAATAAAACATAAATGTAAAAACCAAAAAGTCACTTTTTAAGGTTATTAATTTAATGACTAAAGTTTATACTAATTAATATATTTAATATTATATCAATTCCGTTCATTAATATTTTTACTGTAGGGATATTTATGTTATTTTATTTTATTGTTCATTAAATTTATGTATAATTTATTTATAATAAATATTTTTATTCACCTAAAATTTTATTATTTCTATTTTGACAAATATTAATACATTTTTTTATTACTTTTTCTATTTATCACACTATTCTTTTTTTTTTTTTTTTTTTTTTAATTCATGGAAAAATAGCATAAAATTCTTACATGATCTCCCTAATTTGCTAAAATCCCCTAATCCTAAAATTTTATATTCTCTACTTGGTGGTTCAATAAATATTGCACACTCGTTCTCCTTCAAATTTCACTAACCAAGTTCATTTTTTGTTGTCGGGAATCGTCAAACTCCTAGTGACTTAGAAAATATTTGGGGAGCGGCAAAAATAATTATTGCCCCAATTTGTGATATATCTTCTACCAGACTCTAAACTCAAACCCAACTACGCATTCGTCTGCACCATCTTCAACACCACCGCCAATGCCGATTCGAGGCTCCTTCACCAACGTCTCTTCCTGGCGGAGCCACCCCTCCCCGCCGCCGTCCAACTCACCCTTAAACTGGGAGCAAGAAATGGTCGAAGGAGCACGAGGGGAACCGCTGGTAGCGACGTCATTCATCTCGCCGTTGAATATACTCAAGAAATAGTTACCGAGGATCACACCAAAAAGTCGCTCCTCAAGAAACAATCACACCATTCACCGTTAAAATAACTTCAATTCAAATGTT